ATGACAAAACCACCATCAGTCAATTGCATAAGGCATTTTTACTTTGAACAGCTTATATCCTGTGACGATACCTTTAACACCATCAAACAACATCTGCCTATCCCAGGTCCTTGGGAAGCACTCAATAGGTGGACAAAAATGTCAAATCCAGTCTAACATCTGGCTGTGTGACCACAATAATATGAACCAGGGCCAAGCCTGAGTTACTGTTATGACAAAAGAGTATAATGATCATTATGTCATTTTTATCATTGTTTCATTTTTATGACCTAGGGATATTGCTTGTGCAAATGCAGGTATGCATAAATGTGCCACTTTGCTGCACTGTGAAAAGTTCACCCTGAAATTTTGTCAATATCTGCCAGATATATCTCTCAGCAGGGTTGGGAAACTAAAATGCTATTGTAAGTTTGTAGGAAGCTGTCTTAGCTGGATTAGATAATTGGGCCTTTGAAGGAATTGTTGTCCAAATTGGCTATGTTTGCTCAAGAAGCCAATCTTAGCACAGCATGAACCATAGTTGGATGTTAACAACCTAGCCTTAACCAGTCTCCCATGCTTCAGGTTAGGCTGACACATTAAACCTCATGACGGTGTGCAAATGTGGTTGCTGGTAGCACATTTCATTCAACTGAGCTTCCATTGGAGATACACAATCCTAAAACTATTATATCTGGGCTGCACAAATCCAGATACACACTAGATGCCAGCAAATATATACTGGAAACTTTACAGCTTTGCTGCTATCTAATGGTTGTCTGAATGTTGGCAGCCTAGATCTGACAGCCCTAATATGACCATTGAAACCAAGGACCTTTTGTTTGTGAAACATGTTACTCTGTCAACAAGCTAATCTTACCAGAGTTTCTCAGTTGTGTGGAACAGAATTGAATAGGTCACCCCCTTATTTTTCCCATTGCAGAATAGTTGTGTGTGAATGTCATAGTGAAAAATAAGACAATTTCAGAGCTTTTTGTGTTCTGAAGAGATTGCAGAAGTAACTGTTGATTTGTACTAAGATGCCAATTTAATTTTTCAGTTCCATTGCGCCATGCCAGTGACGCAAAAAGGATGTTTTTCATCAGAGCATCACGGTTTTATGATCACCGATTTTTGAAATTAATGGTAAGTTTAGGATTAGGGTTGGGAAAAAAATAGAGCAGAGAGAGGAAAAAAAGTAAATGCAATTACAGACTGCGTAAACAGAAATACATTTTTCAAATCACAGGAATAAGTAGTTCCACTTTATTGCACTTTTCTTCAGAACTATCTAGTACTGGGACCATACTTTAAGAAGGATTTGGAAAACTGCCCCAAATTCCGAGAATGGCACAGTGGATTGACGGGAGTAAAAGTTAAATCCTGTGGAGAGAGCTTGAAGGAGTTGGGAATGTTTTTCTAAGGCCGAGGGGGGTTATATTAGCTTTCTTCAAATACTTGAAATGATAGTCACACAGAAGAAAGTTCTTTTTTGCTCCAGACTACAGGACACCCAGAATCATGCAAACTTAAGTTGAAGGAAAGCAGATTCCACCTGAATGTTAGGAAAACCTCTCAAACAGAATAGTTTGATAGTGGATCAAATTACCCAGGGAGCTGATAGATTCCTCTTACTGGAGGTATCCAAGAAAAGGCTAATTAATCTTCTGTCAGGGATACTTTAATTTGGATTCCTTTCTTGGTCTGGGACTGTAAATAAAATGAATGAAATGATTTTGGATTCCTGTACTGAACCATACTTTCTAAGGGTTCCTAAAATTTTATTGCATTCAATCTTCCAGTGATCCTGAAAATTCTGGGTATTTTCTGCATATATATCAGGGTGGAAGAAAAGTGTTCTAATAATAATTCAGCTTGTATTTATATAAAGAAAGACTTTAAAATTTGTGGGCTTGCTTTTACTGACCTTGCCCTTTCCTTTTTTTTAAACAGTATTGGTATACTTTCTTAACTGGAATCCCAGTGCTTCTTCTGGTAACCTTTGCTAATGTCTTTATTGGTAAGTATTTCTGCACCTTGGAATCTTTTGTTCTGTTTTGTACTGCTGAGCATTGCAGATAACTGTATCATTTCTGAAGGACTGCTATTTTGATGAGATTGGATTAATTCTGATGTCCCTGCATAAGACAAGAACCATTAGTGCATTCATCTCCACTATGTGTCCTCCAGATGTTTGGACTTAATTCCCTTGGAATTTTAGAAATTGTAGTCTAACGCATCTGGAATTACCAGCTTGATGAAGGCTGGGCTACAGAATTTCTTTAAAAAGCCTCTTGGCTTTTTCTTGATGGTTTTCTGCTTTTTCTTGGTTTATGAAGATGATAGTGGATTACATCATCTTGCATCTTTATGGCTCTCCTATAAAGAGGTTTGGCTTAAGGATCTCTAAAGCTCCTAGCTTTCTGGGTGCATGTTCAAAATCCCTTTTTTACTTGTTTTTTATATTTCAAACTATGGCATAAAGTTGCTTTTTTTATTATGTTCTATTGTGAGATCTCCTGGTTGTGAAATCCCCTCTCCCCTTGGATGATCTTGTCATCGATCCAGAAGTTGAGTCACAGCAACTGGACTTCTTTTCTTTTGGTCTGATACGTTTCGGTGCTTGTCCAAACAGCTTCTGCAGTCTAGAAAGTTGATTAGGGGGGACCCCATAAATGTCTTCCAGGGTGGCTGCGTTCCCTTTAGTTGAAGGGACAATAGGAGATGTGATTAGTAGAGTCTTTGGGATGTAGATGTCTTACTCCTAATCCCTCACTCATCCCCAAGTGGGTCGTTAACGATT